GATTAACTAAAAGTCTAGTAAATGTGGTTATACTTACAAAATTAAGTGTAATTCTGAATCATTGAAAAGTTTCATTGAATGGCATAACGAATAAGTAGAATCAATGAAGGTAGAAAGATAAAATGTTTCTCCAATCTAAGAAGAAGGGAGAGTACTTTTGTATCATGTTTTATGATTGTCTTGGTAATCATAGAACCATATTAAGTCACTAGTTTGGCTAAGAAGAGGAATAAAGAATTGTTGAAATGGTTAAGTCAATAATATGTATCGTACTTCGTTCCAAAATCAAGTCTTAGAATTTACTCCAAGATTGTGACTTGGGTGACAAAATCTTAAGTAGGAATGTTCTTACACTTGCACATTTTGGTAAGTTGTGATGTCTTGAATAAGACAAAGACCAACTAGTATTGAATTGTGTGTAGGTTTTGTCTTGATATAGACACACACTAACTCTTGGATATTTGTTTTGTCAAGAAATGTTTCTTGATAAGAGAATTTGATATGTGAAGAGGTCAGTAGGAGTCTAAAGATCTTGAAAAGTTTCAAGAACAAAACAAGAAGTAAACCTATTAAACACTAGCACATGACTTGTGGTTTATAACCTATCGTGTTGAATTTTTTTTATTTCTATGCCATAATAGTAAATTTGCTTATGCATATGAGTTCTACAAGTTCTCAATTGAGTGCATAAGGGCAAATAGCTTGTTTAATGAAAGTACATTGACTGGTATAGGTGAGCTGCTAAATAACTTGGAAGCAATGGTGGAATCCTTGATGGCAATAAATTAAGAATGAACAAATTCTGTCCATAAAAGTTTTAATTTGTCACAAACATTATCCTACGATTATGGTTATGGCAATTCTCATGGATCGGAACACACACACTAGAAAAATCTAAGTGTCATATGGTTTCTCTGCTGCATGAAAATGATTATGCGGAAACGCTTTCACTAAGAATGATTTTATGAAGATAGCAATTGTGTAGATTGCATTCTCAAATTCAATTATGATAACGACCTCCCTCTTCATAGTTTGAATTGTGAGATTTGGCGATTAGTTTGAACGTTTGGGACTTAGTAATATAAGCTCTAAAATAGTTTAGACACACATGTGAGCTATCTAGGGGATGATGTATGAGTTTGAGAAGATTAGATAAAGGATTATCAAAGCATATCGTATTAGAAACAATGAACTTTGGAACTCAATAAGTATTGTTTTCTAGAAGTTTAGCTTGAATACGTGTCAAAGCTAGTGGGAGTATAAATGTTATGCTGGAATGGATAAAGCATCATGTTAGTGGGAGCATTATTATTATTTTTAAGTATTGCAAGTTGGCAATATTAATTATAGAAAAAGAAAAGTTCCACTTTGCAAAGTTGCAAGGGCTGAAAAGTTGTTTTGCTATAATTAAAGGAGCGTTATACTTTGTTTTCAATCCAAAAGATTAGATCAAGAAGTTTTAATTGAATTTAGTCAAGGATATATTTATTAATTGCATTCTTAAATTTCGATTATGATTATGGCATCCCTCTTCATAGTTTGAATTTTGAGAACACGACACCTAGAAATATTATGACAATATTATAGCAAGAAACTGGTAAAGTATCACGTTTTCATTATGAATTGTATCCCATAGATTTCGGGTATAGGATCGATTGCTGTAATATTCGACCGTTCTAAAATTTTCCAAATGCCTAGGGCATTTAGAGGGAAAAACGGAATAGAACTGGTTTTGACTAAATTAATTAAACAACTGTTAAGGACAATCTAAGGTTTGCCAAGGATTGGTCGCTTGTGGACACTTTGAAGTATAGTAATTGATAGACCATATTGACTTTATTATGAGTAGATAGGACTCTATCTAGAATGAGTTGTCGTATGGAAAATATGGAAATGTTTCCATATTGGGAGTTGGATATGGAAAATCAATGTCTAGATTAGAAACTTCTATGCAAGAAGGATGTTCAAAGGAATGTACTTTGAATGTGAGACTTCATGACTATGGAATTGGCTTGTAACAATCTCCAATAGAGCACTTTGTAATTTCATTGGCAAACTCTTGGTGAATTTGGCGCTATGAGATTACAAAAGGACCGTTGAATAAAATGTTAGAATCTAACATATTCTATAAGTGGCAAAAATTTGGTATTCTCACACTTGTGATAAGGACTGGGAATTGTGAAACGTGGGTTATGGAAAATGTTATTCAATTATACTATTTGAAAAAGTAAGGACCATAGGTAAACAAAGTGTGGATGCTAAGAGCATGGGACAATTGTTGTATAATTCAAGTAAGAAGTTGATTACCCGAAACAACAAATAATGAGTAATCAATATGGTGATTAAATAAAATGTTTTATTTATACTCAAAAATTTGGGACCATATAGGATTAGTATTATTTTTCAGGTTCACTTTGCATATTTTGACTTCCCAAATAATAAGATTATTCAAACCCTCCACAGTCGTTGATTCTTTGGAAGTAGGAATGAAAGAAGATTGTCATGAATGTGACTGTAGATTGTCTAAAGTGTTTTAGACATAGAAAAAGTTTGTTGCAGGGTTCATGAGTGCTGCTATACGATTAGAGTATTGGATTAAACCCATGCTCACTTGGATCGCTTCATGGATTTCATCACAAGTGATTGGTGAGACGATAATATCTTATATTCTTGAAACCGAGATGTGTGAGTTGTATCTCATGAGTTGGTTACACATTGATAATATGTAAACACACCAGTAACTTGGTGTTATAGAACATACTGTTGTGTGTGATTCGGTGAGTGAGTACAAGCGAGCATTGAGTCGAAGTTTATCCGTTCCTTTTACCCATAGTGGGATAAAAGCGATATATGTGGGCCCCTCGATGATTTAGTGATGACACCCTAAGCGCTTGGCCAGGTCGGGACTAATTTGATGTGTTTAAATGTAGTCTCTTGTCAGTCATCATAAATTGGAAATCGAGAAACAATAGATAAACTGAGAGAATGAATATAATCCATGTCTCAGTCTATATGATATCTAGAATGGAGGAATATATAATCCCTTATCTAAAGGACAGGCTATTAATAAGATCAGAGTTAAACAATGTCTTTGAGAGCTATGATTGCTAATTGGATTGTACCTACATTATAGTTAGTAGACTTATCCAAGTGGGAGATTGTTGGATTAGTGTCTAAGCCCGTAACTATATTTGGTATGTACTTGACCCGATTGTGTATGGTCCTTTTGGGTTGCCTTCACCAAAACAACTTCATAGGATGAGTTAAGGAGAAAAAGGATTGATTATGAATTATTAATATATTATTTGAATAATATATTAAAGGAGAAATCATATTATTTAATTAATATTAGTCAAGAATTAATTAAGAGTTAGTTTTGTAACTAAAAGACATTAATTAAACTTAAGGGACTAGAATTGTAATTATAAGATAGTTGCAATTGGGCTATGGATCACCTTGGAACATAGGTTGGACGAATTCTATGGGAATCCCATAAGGAATTCGTCCAAGGGTTGTTCTAAAGGGAGTCCATGGGCTGCTTAAGGCCTAAGCAGTCAAATTAGGGTTTCCTAGCTGATAACCCTAATTGCCTCACGATATAAGGACCCCTATATCCCCCAAAACGGGTGGAACTCTTTTGGAAGAACCCCAGGATGGTATCGGTGCTTCTCTACTTTCTCTTTGGTCATCCTCTTGCTTGTGGTGTTTCTACGCTCCAAAGACAAGGAATTCAAGCCATTCAAGAAAAGGTGAAAATCTAGATTTGTATTCTTATGTCTATTTCGATATATATCACTAGATCTAGGGTTTATAACTCTTGGATGAATTGCATGTACAATAGAGAAACATAGATCCAAGCTTTAGGGTTTGCATGAGCACATAGGATGTTCTTTTGGTTAAATCCCATCATGTTGTTTTTGTGTGAAAACCTACCAAAATCACCATCAAAATCATGTTTAAGGTATGTAGCTTAAGAGCTTTTCATAGAATGGAGTATAAGTAGAAAGAAATGCATAAAATGGTGAAATTCTGAGTGGAAATGCAGGGATAATGCTTGGTTTTTGGGATTACCTTAAGAAGTACACTTGAAGAAGATGATTTTTGATGTGGAAAGGGCATCTTGGCTACTAATTTTTGTGAGTTAGAGAGGGGGTTGAGATAAATTGTGTGGTGAAAGTGATAGAAAATGAGAGAGAGAGAGAGAGAGAGAGAGAGAGAGAGAAAGAAGTTGGAGTGGAAGAGAGGTAAAAATGATTAGGGGTATTGGGAAGTGGATGGGTGCCTTGGGAGAGGGGAGGCCATGTTTTTGAGGGCATTAGAGGCTATCCCTCTCACTTGATTCTTTTAGATAAAATCCCTTCTATATTTTTATAAATTTTCCATATTTTTATAAACTATGCATTAGCCTAGTTTTCTTTTCATAAATCTCGACTTTTAACTTGTAGATTAGGGTTAAATGTTGATAATTAAAATTTTCTTTCCATGATTATGTTTCCGAGTTTTAGTTACTTTAAATTGATATTATAAAGTTCATAACAAATTTTATGGAATCTTACGTGTTGAATTCTATAAAATTTAGTTTTTTAGGGCTTATTAGGATTTTCTGACCTTTTTAGCTATTTAACATTATAATGAAGTGAAATTAGAAGATTTTAATTCATTTTAGGGGTTGATACCCTTTTCAATTATAACAATGTTTATATTTTGTTCTAATTCGGCTACTGGCATTTTCTAGAGTAGTCGAACAATTCACGTCAATTTTAAAAGTCAAGTATATTAGTCCTAGATTTTAATTGTATCCAGGTTTCTACAAAATTGTGACCGAATTTATTCTACTAGGCCATGGAATGAAGTTTATATATGGTTTATGAAAAGATGCATAAGTCCGAGAATGACCTGAATTTGACAGTTGTCGCACCAGTGTTGATAAGGATCCCTCCGGTACTGTTCCGGAGCAACTCCCATTGTCAAACCAAACCAAATATCGTGATGCTTCAAAGATGTCTTACTACAATGATCTTATTGTTAGTCCTCCGGGAAAAAATCCTTCTTCCAACAACATACTTGTACCCAAATGGAATCTTACCTATGAATCCTGCATTTTCGGTCGAGAGGTTGCTATGGAATTTTGTCTCCATGCTTTCCCTAAGGAAACTATTACTGAGATGGTTACAAACGAACAAACGGTTGATTTCATGGAGTTTTCTTCTACCCAAAGTGAAAATTTTCTTGTTTTCGGAGCTCAACACATCAGACGCCTTAAGAGTGTGATAGTTAAACTTCGTTCCACTGAAAGGAACGCACAACTATAGTTGGTATCGCTAGGGGCTAATGTTGATTCTTCTCATTAGAAATTGGAGCTAATGGCTGGCGAGAGAAAGAGTTTGGAGGAACGGTGCGGTAACGAAGAAGCAAAACTCGAAGACACCTTTTAGAAGAATGAATCCTTGAGTGGCCGAGTGGAAAGTCTAAAGAGAGAGAGAGAGAGAGAGAGAGAGAGAGAGAGAGAGAGAGTTGTTGGACAAGGAGAAGTTGCCGCTTGATCGTGAAGCGAAAATGTCCCGTGTTATGAGTAACTTGGATTGGCTTGTCAATGAGGGATTCGTTAGGATGGTAGACAAGGTCATTAAGCTTCCTTACTTTTTGCATGATGTTGGTCGGATCATACATATGTGCTTTGCTGCTGGTGAAGAGTTTGGAAGGGAGACGTTGCACAAGAAAATTGATGTTGGGACGTTTGATCCTCGTGCTGCTAGCTCAACTTCTATCCACACTAGAGAGATGGTGGGTGCTATTGATTCATTCCTCACATATCATTACACATTCCTCATGAAGTTAGGCTCTCTATACATTAATGGCCTTCTTCGACTCTATACGGATGATAATGGTGGATGAACGGATCCAACCAGAACTCCAAAAATTACTGGCATGAATGGTGGCGAAGGTAAGTGATAAGAGACTCTCCTTTTTCTGACATTGTTCCTATTATGCTACCCATAGTGGGTGCGAAGATAAACTTTACTTGATTTTCTTTTGGTGGCCATGCATGGTCTTAATATGCCAGGTTTTGGCTTGTACTTAGAAAAACTTCCTTCTTTTGTATACTTGTGATTGTACCTTGGTTTAGCATATTATCCTTTCTATCTTCATTTTTATTGGGTATTTTATTTATTTGGAAGTCTGTACGTGAGCCATTAAGCAAGGGATATAATCCTTTAAGATAATGCTAAACTTCTCATTACCTTGCAGAGTTGGTTAGTGAAATACTGCAACTCCACCTTGGCAAATGTTATAATCCTTTGAGCAGACACGAGATAGGACTAGACCACATGTTACCATGAAAATTTTATTGACAAAGATTATGAGCCTTTGAGCTAGGATGTGATATGACCAACTTGCTTGTTATGTTGTAGAGTTAGGTAATGACACCATACAACTCTTCTTGGCAAAGTTTATAATCCTTTAAGCTAGAATAATACAAGACTAAACTACCTATTTTGTTGTAGAGTTGGGTAATGGCACCATGCAACTCTTCTTGGCAAAGGTTATAATCTTTTAAGCCATAATAACGTAGGACTAAACTGCCTGCTATGCTATAGAGTTGGGGAATGGCACCATATAACTCATTGTGGCAAAGATTATAGTCCTTTAATCCAAAATAAGACAGGACTAAACTGCCCGTTATGATGTAAATTTGGTTAATGACACCATGCAACTATTCTTGTCAAAAGTTATAATTCTTTAAGCCAAAATAAGATAAGACTAAATTGCCTGATATTTTGTAGAGTTGGGTAATGAAACCATGTAACTCTTCTTGGAAAAGGTTATAATCCTTTAAGACAGAATAAGATGGGACTAAACTGCCTACTATGCTGTAGAGTTGGGTAAGGATACCATGCAACTCTTCTTCACAAAAGGTTATAATCCTTTAAGCTAGAATAAGGCAGGACTAAATTTCCTACTATGTTGTAGAGTAGCATAATGACACCATGCTACTCTTTTTGGCAAAGGTTATAGTCCTTTAAGCTAGAATGATAGTTAGACAAATGCGTTGTAAGATTAATGTGATCCGGTCCTTCGGTTATCTCGAATGATGGTTCTGATCACAGTGAAAGGGTATCGGGTGCTCCGAGAAGACTTGGAAGGTCACAAAAGAGTGAAATTGTCAACTGTTCTCTAGGAGGGATTCCCAGGAAAACACTCTCACATTCAAGTTAGTAGCTGAACTGAGAGTGTGTGGTGAGAACTAGGGAAGAACAACTTACCTTTTGAGAGGAGGCCTTTTATACTGAGACTTGTTGGGATTCCGTATGGTGATAAGATCATCAGGTCTGACAGGATCCGACACCTTGATTAGTTAACCGTGTTCCTTGTTGTGTCAAATCTAGCAATTAGTTCAGGTAATAATGCTCTGAGGATACTCCTTGGCAATGGGATTCGTTTGGTTTATCGTGGAAAGGAAGGCACCCATTGAAGGTTGAGCCTTCCACACGGTCATCTAGCTCTAGAGGGACACACGCTGGAGAGAGGCTTTGTCGGGGCGGCTATGGTGGGTGTAGCCTGGCCTACTGCTCTTCCTTGAGGCGTCTTTAGTGCTTCCTGAGTGTGACGTCTATCCCATGCTCAAGGCATGTAATCAAGTCCCCCAGTCCACTAGTAATAGTGTATGCTGGGATAGCTTTGATGTTATTTACTTAACTGCCATTAAACATGTCAAGCTAGGGTTTGAGCAACGCTTCAATATTTTTGGCGATGTGACTGTCCATTATGCCAGTCAGTTACGTCACTCGTCAAGGAGTTTCAAATATCCCACCTTCTTTACTCCCTTATAAGTGAAGGTTGTTTCCTTATTTTACCCATGCCTTTTCTCTTACTCCTCCTTTTTGCTTTGATTTTTTCCCTTTTGCCTCTTCTTCTTCCATCCATGATGAACCAACCTGGTATTGTTCCTTCCCCTGTAGAAATTGAGCTTCTACGGGATACCCATGGCTTTTCTCCTACCGATAACATGGAGCTTCCGATTGCTAACTCGATGATCTTATCGCCCCCTCCCGAGAAGGTTGGAATCTATTTTAAGACTTTCGATGTTGGACTTCGTCTTCCTCTGACTGACTTTCAAGACGAGTTGCTTCAAAAGAATCGTTGCAGTATTAAGATGCTCACTCTGAACGCTGTCAATAAGATGGTTGCTTTCAAGATGTTTTGTTGGGCCAACAACATTCTACCCAACTCATTCGTCTTCAAGTTCTTCTTCTGGTCTAGTGCTACTAGGGATAATTTCATGTTCTCCACCGATCGTGGTGGCCACGTCTTGGTCCCTAACAGCAAGAATCCTAAGAAATGGCAAGATAAATGGTTGTGGGTCAACCGGGAGCGAGTTAGTTATGGGCATTATCGGGCGAACGAAATGTCAAATTTTACTCACAAGTTATTCCCACACAACCAAGTTACTGATGAAATCTTGAAGACGTTCCAGTTCGTTACCGACGAGTACTCGAAGGCCGTTCTTTCTGGTGTTGGGATGAGCCCCTCCTGGCGTGCACGGGGGAAAATGTTGATCTTTTATGTTGTCATGGATGGTAAGTGTTTCTGGTCTTACTATCTTCTTCGCCCTCCCCCCCCCCCTTTTTTTTTTCTTTTTTTACCCTAATCCTTATTGAGGCTCACACGTTCTGATTGTACTGACAGGTTTTGAAACTCCAGTGTCAATCGACTCCGTTCTTTAGAAGCATTATTAGGGAAAGTTAGAGCATTGTGTGGTTGACCTCCACGATACTCTTCCGCCACTGCGCCACACTGAGCATCTTCCCATTTTTCGGCACTGGTGACACGGCCATAACATGGTTCTTCTGCAAATAGTAGTGATTAGCTTCTAGATGTTCTGCCTATTTTCGTGGTTGCATGTTCAACGAAGGCATAACCTAACCCGCCTGCCGAGCTCACTTTCTTCCAACCCGGAGGGACTTGTGGTGATCCCCGATGGTGACGTACACCGACCTGAGGGGAATCAACGTGTGTTCAAGTAGCCCATTGTTCAAGTAAAAATATCTTCAAAGGCTACCCCACCCCTTCCTCGTCGGGTGGCTGTGCAGGGGTTTCACGTCATTAGATTTCTCCGCGAGAGGTTTCTCAAGATCTTGTGGTCCCTGGATGTGACAACCGGAAACTTTTACCTGGTACATCTAGTCAGTTAATCTAACTTAACCATAAGTCCTAATTGGGTAAAAGACCATTCTACCCCCATATACTCTTGTCCCAAAATGAACTCTACTAAACTCTTGGCCCAAAAAGATAAACACTCCTACAAGGCCCAATATATGGCCCAATTTCCAATTGGGCCCAATACCTTCATATGGTCCTCAACCTAAGGCCAAATAATTCTTCTCTAGTCCAAAGTTTCAAATCCAGATGGCCCACTAAAGCCCAAAGTAGCAAAGTCCAATGAATGACCCAAATTGAGGCCCAAAACAAAACTAGTCCACTGACTAAGTACGTGGGGCGTACTCAGCTGTACGCTGTGCGTACAGGCTCTTTAGCATGTACAATGAGCGTACATACTTGTTCCCCCAACGTACTACTTTATTAAGCCACTTATACCATTAAGCACTTAATGCTCCCAACAACTGGTCCAAACCACATATTTGAGCTCTACTAAACGTCTTGACCCATAAAGTCACTGACTTGGTGATTTTGCATGCCCCACATAACCCAAAATCCAAAAATGGCATTCTACTTCCGTGAATATGGTCTTAACTCTTTCATGAACCCATTAATACCTTCAAGATGGCAACTTTATGATTTATGGAGTCAAATAGCACCAAGGGTGGCAACCCTAAGCCTACGAATCAAATTTGAACCATAAAGCTTCATCCTTGGGACCAAAAAGGTCCAAAAACCCATACTTAAAGAGATCTAACAAAATAAACACCAGGTACAAAGCTTTATACCTTATATGAATGCCAAATGTTGATAAGGTTCTTGATCTATAAGCCTTTGCTCCTTTGATGATGCTTCAACAATGGCCACCTTCCTTTAAAGCACCAAGATGCACTCCAAAATGATTTTCTATGCTCAGAACATAAAAACAGGGGATTAGGGTTTTGTAGTAGCTACTTTTGGGTTAAAGGGAGGTTGGACTTTGAGGCATAATGTTCCTTATATGATGCCAAACCCTAAAATTAGGGTTTTGGTCTAAATAGGGTACGTCATGTGTACCTCTTAGTACCCCCGACATACTCACAAACCATCTGTGACCATGCAGCCTTCTATGTTCGGTGTAAACCAGCTTAGGATGGGCGTAACCCATCTTACGTTGGGCATACCCAACCAAACACAAACATGTATTCCTTACATGTGTGGGACTGCCTTGCCACAAATCTCCATTAGGGACCAAAATTGTCAATAACTTCAAAGTTTCATATCTTCCTCATCCGAGGTTCGTTTCCAACGAACCTTATATCCATGAAAAGGTTGCGAGAAGCCCTATGCTCCTAACAACATGCCCAAGCCTTAAACCATTCCGAATAAAACCAAAAACTCATAAAAAACCGAGACATCCATTTACAATCATACCCTTGGCTTCCGAAGACACAAACAAATACTTGGGTCACTTATGCTATGACCCTCACCTCCGAACTAGGCCAACCCTAAACCATATGGAAATGATAATTAGGCAACAACCCCGATCAACGAAACAATTTCAAAACCGGGTGTTACATGTATGGTGGTTTTCCATACATTTGCATGGAAAACCTAGTTAGAAGCATCAACTCTGCTTTCTGCCAGGAGCACCTGTGGTATGAGATCCTATACTCGAAGATGATACCAAACATCCCCAAGTATGACAACATAATCGACCCCGACGAGAACATCGACACTTATGAATGGATGATGACATCACTGAGGATGGACAAGCGATTCATTTGTATGTATTTCCCTGTTACATTATCAGGAAACACCAAAAAATGGCTCAAGGCGCTGCAATTAGGTAGCATCTAGAGTTTTGAGCAGTTATGGCACCTTTTCATCAACAATTTCATGCAACTGAGTAAAGGGAAGGGAGATGCAAGCACTATAATGGCATTTAAGAAAAATAAGAAGATTCAATACAAGAATATTATGATAGATTCATGTTGGCAACGCTCAAAGTCCTGCGCCATGAAGCGTTCCACGTACCTGGTGCCTTTGCCCAAGGTCTACTCCCCAACCCTTTGTCAAAGAAGATGCAGGGGACAAAACCTCAGTCGAGAGACGAGCTCAAATATAGAGTCAAGAAATACCTCCGACAAATCGATGGTAAGGAAATGAAGGAAGCCAACCTAAAGGATGTCGTAAATGCATACATTAAGCAAGAAGAAGCTAACTTCCAATAAATCCCCAACCACTGAGATCACCATGAAAGAAGCCATGATAAGAACAACCGACACTCAAGACACCTATCCCAAAGATTTTATCCATTTCGTAAAGATGAACCCCAAATGCACTGAGCTGAGGTGAATGCAGTTGAGAAAACACCTCCAAAGCCGGACAAAAAGAAATGGAAATAATGTGAGTACCACAAGAGCAAAACCCACGATATTAGCGAGCGTGCAGTTCAGAGGAAGGAAATGGATGAAAATCATCTAACGGGTGGTCATACAGTAATCGCAAATGATTTAAGGTCCAAGTTTGATGCTGAGCAAAAGAATGCTCGAGATCAGAAAGATACCGAAAAGTGCCAAGTTAAGGAGGAGATTCTTACCATCATGTTGCCCCATGAAAGGAGTGAGTGTTGTAAAATAGATGACCACATCTAGGTACTCCCTAGAAACATCCTCAATATTAGTTTTTTGATAGACGATCTGAGGATGCTAGGCTGGAACCCTAGGGATTTGTTCTTGATAATCGCCTGCATACATTAGATACATATCAACGATCTTTACATAGACAAGAATAGCAGTACCGACATCCTTTATGAGCACTGTTTCCAATAATTATTTCTCTCTTTGAAGGAAAGCTTAGCACCTCCGACCGTTGGTCCTTTCATAGGGTTTACAGGGTACAACTTATGGCCACTAAGTGCGATACGTCTCCCTTTTACTATAATTAGTTGTGACGGAAGAGATAGGGTCACATGTATGATCAAGTTTTCAGTAGTATGCTCCCTAGTAGAGTACAACATACCGCTGAAGCGGTCGGTGCTTTTCCAACTACAAGCCATACCATCAAAGATCCACAACACCATGAAGTTTAGCACGAGTAGTGGATCAACCATTATAGTTCCCTTAAGTCCACGCGCACACCGTTACTATCAGGCCCTTGCCACCCTAGGGCTAGCGTGGACCATAATCAACGAAAAGGGGGAGGGGGCAAGTAGGAGAGGACAACAAGACAACAGAACCTAAGGTTATCAGTCCAGTAAGTGCAAGAACTCCTTGGGAATCGATCTCCCCTAGGTATGTTACAAATCAAATGGAAACAAGAAAACATGGCAAGAAACAATGAAAGCGCATCAATTACCTTGACTTAAGCGAGGCAGTTATACCCCACAATACCACAAGAAGGTAGATGATGCCAAGTCCAGGTGAATTCATTCTAAAGGAGGGGAAGGGACAACATTCAGATGACTAAGTAGAAATCACTTCGAATCATCAAAAGATTATAAAGATCCTCAAAGAAAATGAAACAAATGGCAAAGAAGGACTTAGAACAAGCCTTTGACATGCACGGGAAGCTGAAGTGTAACTCTCTCCAACCATCAGTGAGTCTCTATCTATCACCAAAAGGGTTTATGTCACCCACATGGCTAGAGGTTAGAAGGGCCAAAGATACCAAAATGCAGAGCAAGAATTGATATGATCCAGTGGGCATCCCAAAGTTGAGCAGAGTCCCCGAGAGAAAACCATAGATACCGACACTCCGAACAGACTACCCTTAGCACCTTTCGACAACCAAATCACAAAGGTACATACTAAATCTCTCCGGGAAAGAGACATTGACTCAAAATAGATCACCAATGCCACATAAATACCTAATCGACTCTAACATCTGCCATATTGCTTCTTATGCAGACCCTTTCCATGCGATCCCTCGGACGACAAGAGGGTCAACACTAAAATTGCCCAACTCGCAATAGAAAAGGAACAAACAGGAAAAGCAAGATACTTGCCCATATAAAATAATCAAGTAAGAAAAACTAGATCACGAGGAGGTTGGAGACTCGTTACTGGAAGAATGTCTCGCCTAGGAGTCTATCGGTGCATTGGACGCAAAGACAAGACATTACCCCCAAAAATCGTTGTTGATGAATGCCTAGAATACTAGGTGCTCATTCCTCCTCGAAGCTAGCACGCCATGATTTTGACCAACAACCATCGATCACCCTATCAACGGGGTATCGATACCATGGGGCCACCCCCTCCCCTATTACCCCAGGAAGATCCAATTTCCCTTTGGTCACAGTTAGGCATTTCATTAGGCAGGAAAAAGGTAAGCATCCATCAAGATCGAAAAAAGTATGAGTCGGAGAACCACCAACAATGTCTCAGCTCCATCGCCAGGACCTAAGGCTAGAAGTTGAAGGAATACCCTTCGATCTCATACAAGGGGCAAAAGCAATATCACCGCTTGGGATTGCAAACAGGCTGTTGTGAGCGCCAAACTTTGGTGCAACCACAAATAAAGTGAATCAATGTACAAACATGAACATACTCAATGGGAAACATGAGACCATTAGACTCATTCAGGT